TGCACGTGGGTAGATTGTTATGCTTTTCATTTTTCTCTCTTGCTGGTTCCATCATGAGCAAATTGTAATGTTATCAAGATGTTTGAAGTAGTGCCTTGACATTCCAATTTGTTGAACATCTATATACTAAAGTCTGTAGTCTATATTTGGCTTCAAGAAATATAAAGCTCCTGAAGAAACTTTTTATTTGTAATTACTGCTTGCTCGTATAGTGCTATCTCCTATATTCCTAAGAAAAACATATCATTACTACGTATTGTTCCCTATATCAAATATCTATTTTTTTACTTGGTTATTCTGTTTGAAGTTTATAGAGCAATAATGGGTTTCTTTGTGAATGACGTTATAGTGTTATTGCAGGATGAGGCACTTAATGTACCTGAGCCAGTGGACCAACTGCTAAGTGATTATGCTAAAAGATTTCATGAAGTCAAGACCCCTCGTAAGCTCCTTTGGAAGAAAAATCTTGGTACTGTAAAGGTTAGTTGCTACAGAGTTTACATAATAGTATTTTCTTTGAGACAGATTTTCTTCTTTCACTTGGGTTTTAAGATGACTAAACAGTGTTGAAAAAGTCTTACATAACTGTAATTAACATTATGTTATGTGAGGCATTTCTTTATATCAGTCAACTTAAAATGAGAATGGATATGTTAATGTCATAGGTCCAATTGTAGATATCGAGAAATTTCAGTCATGAAAATTTGTCAAGGAATATAATACTCTGTAACTCTTGCACCGTCAGTCATCGAAATTTTTTCCTATATAAGCTCGTGTAGCATTGATATTTTTCTTCGCATTCTTTAATTTGCTCAAATATCATTAACTTCTCTGAATTGCCTCTTTATTTTAGTTGGAGCTTGAATTTGAAGATAGAGAGCTACAGTTTACGGTCACTCCGCTTCATGCTTCTATTATCATGCAGTTTCAAGATAAAACAAGGTGAACTAGAGAATGACCTTTTCTTGTTTTGCCATTTTTATCTCGAGAACACAATGATTTAATCACGTGGAATATATAATCTCTATCTCATGCTTTCAGTTGGACCTCCAAGAATCTTGCTTCTGCTGTTGGTGTACCTGTGGATGTCTTGAATAGGAGAATAAATTTTTGGATAAGCAAGGTTACTGCCGTGCACTTTGCCATTGCTGGAATTTATTAGCAGTGATGACTTTTCCATTACATAAGATTATATGTTTCTCATAACAAATTGAGATCCCATGGCCTTCCATGGTATCTGATTTTCACTCATTTAGTCTTGAAAAAGCACATTTAGACCCACTTCTTATGCAACCAAGTCTCTGGCAGTCGGTTTTGGTTTTTCCTCTTGTACTTCTTTCTGGCATAACCAAAATGTAGTATCACATCTGAATAAACACGTCATGTGTCTTTTGATTGTTCAAGCCAGTTGAAATTTACTGTTATTTAAGTATATTAAAAATCACTCAGGGAAAGGATGGTGGCAATCTATTTATCCAATTTCCTTTGCTTGGTTTAATCAGGGAATTCTGGCAGAATCAGTTGAGGCAGATTATAGTGACCATAAATTTACTTTGGTGGAAGCCTTGGTTGACAGTGGAAAGACTGGAGCTAACATTGGGAGCTGTGAAGAGCTTCTGGGGGTTGATGAGGATGGAGAGCGATCCGTAGCCTCTGTTGAGGATCAACTACACAAAGAAATGACAGTTTATGAGGTATATCTTTTAAATACTTTTTTCACTTTTGATATGCGCATCAATAAATTCTCTACGTTGAAATAATGTCATATGGCTAACAAATATCATTTGAGTTATGCTTATTCTTCGATTTTCACATTTATCTGAATACTCTCTTTATGGTCATCGCATGGTGAACATGATAATTACGTCAGATATTTTGAAATTTCAGCAAATCTCTTCATTTTCTATGTTTAGTTTTGATTATTCAGCCTGATTAAATCCTTTAAATTCATTAAACACGCTTTGGGATTGAAAATTTAGTTTGCTGACTATTTATAGTGGATTGTTTTGAAAATTGATTTTACAAGAAAGTGATTTAATCAAAATCAGGTTATTGATTGATTATTTGTGATTATCTCAGATATAGTCCCAATACGGGAGCCAAGAACGTGGATTTTTATGTTAAATATCAAACCTCTTGCTATTATATACAAATCTAGTTACATGTAAATCAGGTTTTCAAAATATGTATGCCCTCATATTTTCTTTGATTTCTCTATTGAAGCTGCTGTCGTACAGATGTTTATTTTGCTCGCGATGAATGTTTAAAAGATGAAACTTGTTATTTCTGTTTCCTGTTGCATGAAAAACATTAAAATGGTTTCTCAAAGTTCTTGTTGAGTAGAACACTAGTTTGAATACACATGCATCACACATATTTTTGATTAAATTGTAAGTGAATTTTGTTTGAAACCAGTCGAAATTGCAAGTTAATTTTCCTTTCACACCTCTACTTTGTTCCCCTGATAATAGACCAATTTTACTCGGAAACCAAAATTGTTCTTTTACAATCTTATTTAAATGTCCCTAGCTAACTTCATATGATATTGTACTCAACTATTTTTCCACTTTTCCATATTGATGGTACAAGTCCCAAACATTGCATAGTATATGAACTTACAAATAAATAGGATATGAATGATCTGAGAATATCCACATTCTTTATGAGTAACCACCAATGTAAATATTTCACTGTATGCATGTGACATTCACTAACAAACTCGAGCTGGTTCAGCTTTACAAGGGAATAAGCTAGCTAGGTTTACACATTCAGAGTTGGCACATCTGCAATCCTACTTAAGGGGTACTGTGGATATATAATTCAAATTCAATAAAGCCTTGGCCACTTTTTTATGGAAACTTGCAATAGGATACGAGTAGTTTCTATTCTCAAATAAATCTCAAAGTTTAACATTTTTTTGTCTTTTAGAACGTGTGTAAGGTTTCCCAACAATAATCTAGTAGGCTTAGTATATCCTGCTGTTGTTTGTGTTTCTAATTCTGCTGCAAATGTAATGGGACTAGAGATTGAATTGCATTCAGTGACATTGATATTAGGTTATGCTAATTTGATAAAGAAATCCATGTTTTTGTACACATACTGGCATAATCTGACCGATAATGGAGAATGTGTTTCAGAAATTTATCACGGGGATGCTTACAAATTTTGGCAGCATGGCATTGGAACGCATTCATAATACTCTCATGGTAATTGGGTTTCATCTCAAGCGAGAAACTGCAATTTGCACGTGAAATATACATTGACATTACTAATCGAGGGAAATATGTTGCTGCAGATGTTTTGTATAGGTGACCCTCCTTATGACAAATCGCTCCAACAGTTGCAAAGCTTCTTGTCCGGGTTAGTTGCCGAGGAGAAGTTAGAACTCAGAGAAGGAATGTATTTCTTGAAGAAGTAATTGTTGGAAAATGAATGAAAACAGCCTAAAAGTGACAATGTCACTTTTTTATTTTAAAAAAAAAAAAAGTGACACAAACTCAAAAAAAATGACAAAACTAAAAGAAAGTGACTCTCAAAAAGTGATATAAACTCAATAGCACCATTCATTTGTGTAGCATTAGTAATCATTTTTTTTTTATCTTCTTAAAAAGTGACAAACTTAAAAGGTGACAAAAAATTTTTAAAAAAAATGACAATTTAAAAAAGTGATAAAATTAAGTAAGTAACTGTTCGACACTTTTTACAAAAATTCCAAAAAGTGATAAATAAAAACATTAATCAAAACTTTAGAATCAGTTTAATAAAGTGACAACTAAAAAAAGTGACAAAACACCAATCAAAACTATGGAATCAATTCAATAAAAGAAATATTTGCATCTACGTCATTGCCACACCTCAAAATCAACCTTCTCATTCTCTTCAATTATACCATATCGATTTTTCATAAAACCATTTTTTTTTTTTTTTGCTTCAACTACAATCAATTCAATCAACAACTTGCCTTCCACGGATAATATGCAAATCAAATCTTTTAAAATATCAGAACTTTGACAATGCAAAAACAGAAAATTCCTAGATAGACATTTCATCAAATGGAAAAGAGGCATCCCACAAACCTTGTAAAAAAAAAAGCAATACTAGCATTTATCACCTTGTAAATTTAACTATTTGTTTCCATCAAGGAGCACTTTCTTTGCATTTAATCACATTTATTGTTCAATATTGGTAATTTCCCTTCTATAAAATTTTGAAGACCAAAAGTTCAACACTTAACCTCAAATCCCAAGAAAAAACAGAGATTTGTAGGTGCCTTCTACTTATTTTGGCAATTATTTAGCGTTCGTCAATTCATTGAAGTGGAAGAGAAGCTCAGATATGAACCCCATCTTGCGAACCCAATTGACTGGACCATTTGCAAGCAAGAAACGAGCATACGGATAAGGCCCTTGTCGACTCTTGCATCAATGGCAGAGAAGATAGAGCAGAGATGTGTGGACAGATTCCAACAGAACAGTGCTAAGGGTAGAGAGGTTATGGAGAGGATCTACAAGTATTAATTACGTTTTAAATTGTTTAATTTATGTAAAAGCGTATTATTCAATTTTGTTGCTTTTGGGCCGTATTGAGCCTAATTTCCCCATAAAAGAATATTATACACTGCTATCATTTTTCGATACAAAGCAACATGTACTACCACTTGTGACATTTATTATATATATTGTTTGATAAAAATAAAGCATTTGAAATGATATTATGGGTTTAAACGTAAACAAAGAAAGATAAATGAAAAAAGAAAAAAGAGACAAAAGTGAAAAAAATAAAATAAAAAGTAAAAAATGAAAGAAAACCGTCCTATATAGCCGTTATTAGGTAAAAATATAAAAATAACCGTTACCACATGTCACGGAGAATTGAACGGGTGCTTGATAAATTCGACCGTTACACATCCATAATTCAAATTTTTACTCATCATTCAAACAAAGAAGGTCGTATAAACAGTGTTAAGAAATCTAGGAGAAAAATCAAGAAATAAACCAAAAATGAGAGAAATAGAACTAGAAGATCCAAAATTAATGGAAGAAGTGGATCATGAAGAGCAGAACTTGCTGAATCTAAGATCCAAAGCTACAGAATTTCTTATAAGAGAAGAATATGAAGAATCTATTCAAGCCTGTTCTCAATTCATTACTCTCTGCCAAGATTATATTTACAAGAATTCCCCCCATTTTGATTCAGACCACTTCTTGAAGCTCCAAAAATCCATCTGTTTGTCTTTCTCGAACCGAGCCGAGGCCAGATTCCGGCTGAAGGAATTCTCTGCAGCATTGGAGGATTGTGATGAAGCTCTGAGAATTGAAAGCACTCATTTCAAGACTCTACTTTGCAAGGGAAAGATTTTGCTGAATTTGAATAAGTATGGTGTGGCATTGGAGTGTTTCAATGCTGCAAACCTAGATCCTCAGGCTAATGAGAATTCTGAAACTCTAAATGGGTACTTGGAAAAGTGCAAGAAACTAGAGTTTCTTTCGAGAACTGGTGGATTCGATGTGTCTGATTGGATTCTGAGTGGTTTTCGAGGAAAAGCACCGGAATTAGCAGAGTATGTGGGTGCAGTGGACATCAAGAAGTCTGATATAAGCGGTCGTGGCCTATTCACAACGAAGAACATTGACAGTGGGACTTTGTTACTGGTCACCAAGGCTATCGCGATTGATAGGGCTATATTTCCCCAAGATTCAGGTGAGAATGTGCAATTATTTATTTGGAAGAATTTCATTGATAAAGTGGTTGACTCAGCCACAAAATGCAGAAGAATTAACAGTTTAATTTCAAAATTATCGACTGGCGAAAACGAGGATAGCATGGAAGTTCCTGAGATAAGTCTGTTTAGGCCTGAAGCAGCTGATAATTGCAGCTTTTCTTCTGAGAACCAGTTCGATCTAGGCGAAATATTGAGCATTTTAGATGTGAATTCTATTCTTGAGGATGCAATCTCTTCAAAAGTGCTAGGCAGAAACACTGAATATCAAGGTGTGGGATTATGGGTATTGCCTTCTTTCATTAACCATTCTTGTCATCCCAATGTAAGGCGCTTGCACATAGGTGATCACGTCGTAGTCCATGCCTCAAGAGACTTGAAGGCAGGCGAAGAGCTTACATTTGCATATTTCGACGTGCTTTCACCTCTCAGCAACCGGAGAGAAATGGCCGGGAATTGGGGATTTACTTGTTGCTGCAAGAGGTGCAAATTTGAGGACGGTATCTACTCCAATCAAGAAATGAGGGAAATCGAAATGGTTCTCGGAAAAGGACTAGTCGATATGGGTGGAATCGTATACAGATTGGAGGAAAGTATGAGGAAGTGGATGGTTAGGGGAAGAGCAAAAGGGTATTTGAGAACATCATATTGGTTAGCCTATTCAAAAGTGTATGAATCAGAAAAATTGATGAGAAAATGGGGAAGAAAAATTCCTTCAATTGAGAGTGTAATTGATAGTATTGTGGATGCAATTGGGAGTGATGAAAGGGTCGTGAAATTGTACATGGAAGGAGGATTAAAGATGGGGGTAGGCGGGTACAATGGGGTGGTGGAAATGGACAAGGCAATGAAATTTGGAAGAGGGGTTTATGGGAAGGTAATGAAAAAACAAGCAATGAAGATTTTGCTTTAGTTAAGTCGAGTCGTGCTAATTTGGAAGAGGGGTTTATGGGAAGGTAATGAAAAAACAAGCAATGAAGATTTTGCTTTAGTTAAGTCGAGTCGTGCTATCAGTTAACTCGAAGTATGATCCTGGGTTTTACCTCTAGGGACCTTTGAGCAAGATGTTATTCTTTTAAAATCCATTATTTGCCCCGGATTGTCCAAGTTTTCTTGAACAAGAATAATTGAAATGTTTAGTATTTTTGATAAGTGTTATCTTATTCATTCTTAGACAATTCTAATAATTCCCCTTGTTTCATTTATAGTATGGTTGCCATTTGTGATAAAAGAATCAAATCAAATGGTTCTATTATTCTTTGTTATGGACTGGAATGCTTTAATACCAGTTTATTGTGAGAAAATAAGATATTGTAACCACAATATGAAGTAAAGATCACAAGAACGATGTAATTTTATAGAGAATGAAGATTTTATTATAATATAGAGAAAGAATACAAAGATTTTGTGTTTATGATTTGTCTAACTTTTTCTAACTTCAATCTAAAATACAATGAAGAGTTAAATATAAATAGGAAACAAATAAGGGAATTCCAAATCCTTATAATAAAGTTGTAGACGAAATAGAATGCCAAAACAGAGTTCAAAATGGAAAAGGAGACCAAAAACTAGAAAAACAGTGTTGTGGCGATGTAACGCTACTATTCGGGCACCGCAGCACCAGAACGCTATTCCAACTTTACGTTGGTGGCACCTAGGCGTATGTCTTCGTCTCAAATATCTTTCAAGGATGTTTTTCTTCATTCCAAAGTCCTCTTCAAGTCCAACGCAAATTCCTACTTCCAATGAGCTTTCAAGTAGAACTTCAATTCGAATTCGCTAAGTAAACTTGAATAGGATTTCACAATAGCATTCCAAATAGGATTCTAGTTAATATGCACTATAATTAGAACTTTCAATTATCTTTTACAAAGAATTCGAATCACACTCAAATTCTAACAATCTCCACCTTGACACGAATTTCACAACTTCAAAAAATTCTCCACCTAGAGGCAAACTCCACTGCAAGAAATAAACTTGATCTTTTCAATCAAAAACACAAACAAATTGCTCCATCAATAATTCCAATTGGAAGTATTCACCACCTTTGCTACCCCAACTAGGGCAAAAGTGATCTAATGACAACCAAATAAGGTTGAATTAAGCCTTGTAACAGAATCATAATTGAATGCATCAAAAGAATGAACTTAGCTAGAATCAACACCTTTAACCGTATTCAAACAATCAACAAAATCAGAAAAATTGTACCTATGTGGAATTTTATGTCAAAAATGGATCTTTTCTAACAATTGAAACCGATGACACCGTTGATAATTGTGACAAGACTGATTCACCCATATCTTCAAAATTCAATTAAGATGTATTCTTAAAGGAAGACCCCAAATTAATCTTCAATAGTACATAAGCCAACTTTAAATCCACTTGAGTTCTTAAAATATGCTGATTACTCGAAAATTCTCTATTACCGTGCAAAATATATAAATGAGATTTTTTATATCCCATAAACATAACACGGGCTCCTTTGATAATCTTCAGACCTCCACTTTCAATAGTGTAACTGTACCCTTTTGAATCAAAAGTATTTAAAGAGATAAGATTTTTCTTCAGATCTGGAATGTGTCTCACTGCATCAAGTGTTCTAATCGTCCCACCAAACATTTTTATTTTGACCCGATATTCGACAAGATGTGTTATTACTGGTCATCACAACACCTTTTGAAACTTTTTAATATGTTGAAAATAATTCATAATTGGATGACATGTGAAAAGTGTAAGACGTATCCAAAATACAAGTCTCATTCGGTTTTGAGTTGTAGGCATACACATGTAGAAGCTCTCCATCACTATTTGAATTTTCTGCAATATTTGCTCTCTTGAAGTTTATAATTGTTAATTTGCAGTTGACTTTGATTTATTCTACAACTTATTATAATTGTTTACCAAGTACTCATTTTCTTGTAATAATTACAAAATTTGATGTTAGATTTTGACTTGCCCTTCAAACGACCACCATGAACAATGAGATCATCTCCAAGATCCTCATATGTTACAAGATGCTTCATCGCCTTTTTTGAATATAGAGTATTGAAGACTTTTTCAATGGTAAGTGTATCATGACTATATAGTATCGTGTCTCTAAAAGACATATATGGAGCGAGCAATGAGTACAACAAAATCAATCCCAATTCTTTTTCATCATATTTGACCTTCAAAATCTCCTAATCAGCGATGATTTTTTTAAAAGCAGCTAGTTGATCCTCAAAAAATGTACATTTGGTCATACGATGAGAATATAAACATTGCTTCGGATACAATTTGCAAGTAATACTCTTCATCATATATAATTGCTCCAATGTTAACCATTAAACAACGATTGACTTCTCTTTCAAAATGTCATGAAAAATATTATTGGAAAGATAAAGATATATTTGAGACAGGGCCTTATGATTCCTATGTTGTTTCTCCTCCATAGTTCAAGTTGTAGACTTCTTATCAAATCTCAACAACGCATCGTCCAAATCCATCTGAGCGAATACTGTTCGCATCTTTACCTGCTACAAAAAGAATCTTGTATTGCAATTTAATTGTGAAATATCATACTTCATTATTATCATCACGAAAAACATCTCGATCTTCACAAGAATTTCAATACCAAAAGCTCTGATACCAATTGTTATAAATTGGAATGCTCTAATATTAGTTTGTTGTGATAAAATAAGATATTATAACCACAATATGAAGTAAAGATTACATGAACACAAATACAATGTAATTTTGCAGAAAATTGAGATTTTATTATAGTATGGAGAAAAAATACAAAGATTTTGTATTTATGATTTGTCTAACTTTTTCTAACTTCAATCTCAAATACAATAAAGAGCTAAATATATGTAGGGAACAAATAGGGGATGTCCAATCCCTTATAGTAGAATTATAGATGAAGCAGAATGCAAAAAAAGGAGTCTAAAACATAAAAGGTGACCAAAAACGAGAAAAACGGAGGCCATCACGAGCATCGCAGCGTCGGCATGCTATTCCAGAGTTACACTGGTGGCACCTAGGCACCCTTCTCCATCCCAAATATCTTCCAAGAATTTTTTTTTTCTTTATTCCAGAGTTCTCTTCAAGTCCAACGCAAATTTCTACTCCAAATAGGCTTCCAGTAGAACTTGAATTAGAATTCATCAAGTAAGCTTGAATAGGACTTCACAATAGCATTCCAAATATGATTCTAATTAATGTGCACCATAATTAGAACTCTTAATTATTTTCAACAAAGAATTCGAATCATACCAAAATTCTAACATTATTGTAATCACCAAAACAAGAAGATTACAAACTTGGGCTTTATAAGATGGGATTTCACTCAAACAACAATAAGCAAAGTTTTAAAATGTTTAGTGAACTTAAAATGTGGTGCAAGTGCAACAAAAGAAAAATGTGATGACAATATAAGAGGCCAAATGTGATATCTCACACCCTCGAACAGTTGCTAAACACGGAAGTTTATAAAGAGTACTCCGATGTTAGCTATTTTACACAATCAATTTTGCAACTAACTCGTTTGCGAAAAATGGGCTTTTATATGCTCATCGAAAACACAGTACGGAGTCCATTTCGTGAATAGGTTAACGAGAGCTTTTTGTTTCACATTTTTCTTTTCTTTTTGAGGGTGGAGTGGAGGGAAATGAGGTACCAATATTTAAATTTTTGATCTCAAATTACGAAAACAACCGTGTTTAACCAAATGAATTGGTTCAATTAATGAGAGCTTGAGCTTGTATTTGTTACAAATCTCAAATTTTAAAAATTTCTGTTATGCAAATAACTGTTTATAAAATTTTCATCTTTCAAATTCTAGTATTTTAGAGTTTTCTCTTTCTCCAAGTCTTTTATTTTTAAACCATCAAGTCCGTTAAACCATTAAGTGATGAAGTGACAAGTTAGACACATTTTAGTACATTTAATGGCTATTCAACCAACTTTTAAAATTCTATAACAATTGAGATGTTTACCAGCTTTGCATTACATTTGAACAATATTTTTTTAAATAATCAAATAAACATAATTAAATATAAACCCCATTAGTTGGTTTGATCTAGTTCCTTGAAAAAAAACATCTGAATGGTTTGATTTATTTCTCAAGTTTAAGAGAAGAAAAAGGGCCCAACAGCCCTATTTTCCTTTTCTTTTTCACTTCAAAATTTAAAATAAATAATATATTTTTATTCGTACATAGATCTATACACTCGAATCAAATTATTTTTATATTTGGTTTTCTTTTTCTAAAAAAAAAAAAAA